TTTCCCTTTCATATTTCTTTGCCTCCCTCCTTGCTACTCTGCAACAACAAAAATCAGGCATTCATCCCCATAAAATCAGTTTGGAAAAGGAAAGCTTATTAAAGTAAATATGAAGAGGGAAGATATAGTTGTTCTGGCTTGTGCTGCAGCTGTTACAAACTTACCATGGACCTTACAGCTTTGAGTTTTATTTCTGGAAAACATCACTGCCATGTGTTGAATGTATTTCAATGCTCCACACTTCCTCAAAATAAAGACATTATCATGAATGCTTATGGCTTTTTGACATTTAAAAAAAAGTTCCTTTTTGTGATTTTTTTTTCAGAAATTTTGATTTATGACTGAACAGTGCTGTTTAAATGAGCTCTGGAAGTTCACTCAGGGAAGGTGACAGTTAACTTCAGAAACCAAGTGTTTCAAATAAGAAGATCACGACTCTGACAGCCACCTTAAGGACAGAAAATATTAGGAACAGAGGACATATTACTTGCATTTACTGTTGACATTAGTGTTTGGATATGTAGACTAGAAAACATTATAATGGGTTAATATTTTAAAGCAGGAACACAGAATTAATGGGTGATAAAAGCATAAAGGGATTTATTATTAAATAGTTTTTATTATTAAGGTTACAAGAATAAAAAAGGTATTCTCTTGTGATGGCTTAATACTTCACAAAATGTGAACCTGAACTGACTCTGAATTGAATCAAGTGGCTCTGAGAGTAGTAGGGAATCTTGTCACCACCCAAATGTTAGGACCCTCAGTGATTTCTGGATTTCAGCTTTAACTTTATATTTAAGATCAGCACTTCTTTTTCTTAATAATTGTGTAAGCTAGAGGCAGGTTTTTGATATTAAATCTTGTCTGTAGCCAAACTGGCAAAAATTGTTCTGTCCGCAGATCTGACCATGGGGGAAGTGTGGGAGGGGAGAGGGGAAGCAGGGAGGCAATCTTTGAGGCATGACCCAAATACTTAGTTTTATGGAGCTAAGTGCACATCTTCAACTAATAAAGTCAACCATGGAGTATACATTACAGTACTTCTGTTTGTATAAAGTACATAATCACATCATTGTCTTTTTCAAAATGCTTGTAGGAATGAAAAGTATGTGTACTACTTGTGGGATGAGACTGTCACAGATAATCATAGCAAAGTCTTCACAAACAGAAAATTTGCACGCTTTTACTCTATATAAAAAGGAAACAGAAGCTTTCCATGCTCGTGTAGGTAACCAAGCATGGTTTGAGGCCATTAAGCCCAGGATTATATTCTACATGCCTCTGCAGAAGGTCCATGGTCAGAGAAGCAGGGGTTCCCGGTGCATCCCGCAGTAACAGCGGAGATGCTCTGCAGCGCTCGGCACAGCACCCACAAATGGGAATAATGAGAAAGTAAAGTTTTCAGAACTAGCATGCTGCTGTTGTCCCACTTTTCTCATAACTATCATGTAATGGAGCAAAGAGCCATTGTAGTAGTGAACACCTCTCAGAAAAGGAATTAGCAAGCTAAATGTAAACAATTAGGGGATTGTGGGTTTTTTTTAAGAACCCATGGATGCAGATTGCAAAAAACAGTGTGATAAGACAGATAAGTTTGGTAAGGCAATATGGACCAAACCTTTAAAATGACAGAAATATAATCCTACTTCTAATCATGACAAATGCATTGCGGTAATCTTAATATCTATCTTGTGCTATAAAGGAGGCAAAACCCCATGAATTAACTAGGTCCTTCTCTTATCTCAACAGTCCATTGTGTAAGTAGGAATTGATAGCAATACAATGTTTTCCTTTTAATTTGGTTATGCCTTACATTGGCACAGTGACTTAACTCTGCCTTTGGCCAACTTTCAAATTCTGCTAGGTTTCTATGAGGAAATTCTTACTCAATTTGAAGCCAAAACTCTCCCGGTTTAACTTTGCGGATGTGATCGTGTACGTTGTTATTTCTTCGGAGATTGAAGGAGCCTATTCCTAAATCTGTGTGTGTTTCCCAAAGCAATACTTCAAATATTGGTTCTACGTATCTCAAGACTTTGTCCAGAAATAAGGCTACATGCTTCTCTTGCAGAAAAAAGTTCTTATCAGAACAAGTGCAGAACTGTCAGGTCTAAGAAAATAAAGCTCCTCTAGAGCTACCAAAGTGTTTCAGTGGTGTTCGAAAAGCAAGAAGCTCATGTTCCCAGTGACAGGAAGATTTGTTTTTCCCCTGGAAACATAGTTTAATTGTGAATAAATGCAGCAGATGTAAATAAAATAGCTTTGCAATATTATGTCCTTTAGTAGTATTCAGTTATGCTATTCAATAATTATATTCCATAGATTTAATTCCTTGCCATTTATGCTATGGCTCTTCCAATAGGAAGCTCTGATGTTGTATGCTTTTTACTATTTAGCTTGAATGTAGTCCAGCCAAGGTGGTGCTGTAGAATTAACTTGAGATTTCAACAGTTTAGTTTTCTAGGAGTCAAGCTTTCTTGTTTCTGTCATGTGGGTTGTTTTGTTTTTTTTAATCTTACCCAGCATATACAAATGACATGACTTAGTTTTTTACTTGTTTTGTTTAACACTTAATTTTAGTGATTCCTCCCACCCCTTGCAAGTGTTTATCTTTTTTTTCCCCTTGAATTTATATGTGTCATCCTATGCGTTTTCCAAGTTAGACTCTGCCAGCTCATAACTATATGTGCCAAGCTTTCAAGAACGATCAGAATTAAAATAGGCAGGGAACTTGCTTACAAACTGTTAGAATCACTACCAGTGATAAAAAAAAAAAAGCTATTTCGGATCACAGCAATTCAAGCTAGGTGTAGTTAATAGCTTTTGAACAAAATAAATCTAGGAAAAGATATTGAGAAGACCTTAAAGCAGAAAATGCTTATGAATATTGATGCAGCTGAACTCAGAAAGACAGGTACATGTATACTTCACATTTATGGTAGAAGAAATCAGCCCTATACTTGATGGAAATGAGTATTGAGGATAGAGCTTTTTAAAACATCAGTTTTCATCAGTTACAGGGCTAGCTGCGCTTCTCTGTTTTTTGCAGTCTGTGAGTGAACTCCATTCATCGGCCATCATATGCCTTCCCAATCTGTAATGAAATCTGTAGCTTTCTTAAGCTTAGAACATAAACTGAGCTACAGTATGGCTTTGTATCCATCGTGGTTACCCTGCTGATCTGACTGCATTCAAACACCTGAGGCTCTTCCCTGGTCCAGGGGAGAATTTTTGAACACTGGTGAATATAGTGACCAAACAGGATACTTTAAACAAAAGTGCTGTTTATATGATAATAGCAATAAAATTCTAAAGAAGGGTTTAAAGAAATTAAAGTATACATACCAAAGAGTATTAACTGAGGAAATGAAAGTCAGACTGTTTCTACCGTCATGCCCACATTGAAATTGTGGGTATGGTGAATTTCTGCTTACAGGGAGACAGTTCTCAAGAAGACAAGCCTTTCTTGTGAGAGGTTCCTGTGTATTTGAACTATATTTACGCACAAATATATTTTTGTATTCATTTGTGACATGTTATAAGCACCAACTTCACTGATTCTGACAAAAAAAAGCCATGTCTCATACTAGAACCATTTCTTTAATCTACTGC